GCTGGTCTGAAATGTGGTATGTGGGTATTAGCGTTTGCAAGTCACATGCTTAGCTCATAAGTTACCGGTTCTCAACCAATATAAAGCAAGGGGGCGTCATATGCAAATTTTTCCGAAACTCTGCCATTGCTCTGCCTACTTTTCTTATGATTTCTAGACCTTGCATTTCTATTATTAAACACGATTCGCAGCATTTTTTAAAAGCAATGTAAACGGCTACAACATGTTACTACATCTCCACCCATTCTTGGAGATTGTGCAAACCATGGATGTAGTACAAACCTGAAACCTGTATGTGTGCGATCAAGCAGGGATCTCTTGTAAGATACATGTTAACAGGATAAGACATGATGGGTGTATTGTATTTTGTGTAAACAGATTACCTTTTGAACAAAAACTTTTGTAAAACCTACATGTTTCTCTTGTGTAAAAAGGGCCATAGTCTTCAGCAATAGAGATTAGATTCCGTGATAATTAGCATGTTAAAAAGCACACCTCTCCCCGTCGGGGAATTGAACCCCGGTCTCCCGCGTGACAGGCGGGGATACTGACCACTATACTAACGAGGAGTGGTTACCCAGTGCTCCTTATCTAAAGATGAAGGGTTCATCCTCAGGTATGACACTGGGTGTTGTTTCAGCTATATTCTATTCATCAGCATTCCAAAGAATGCTTCAAGTTTCACGAAAGCAATGTAAACTATCCCTATTCACACGGGATTAGTATTACCTGAGGACCTCATGTGATTTAGTAATCACCCCACCACGTCTGTTTCGTGCGGCGCATTCACACGCGTTAAGCGAAGTCTGCTCCCGCAATGTGTATGTCCACTCCCGCTTGCACCCGCAAAACTTTGAGAACAAAACACGTCATTTTACAGGCTATTAATAAAGAGATTCATGGGGTTGTTTGTTTCATTTTCCTGGCCAGCATGTCTTTTGACGCACTGGTCAGTAATAGCACTCCTATTTCATTGTTTTCATTTAGTTTTTAATAAAATAAAGGGTGTTTCATATTCATCTAACCCATCATTTATTGACATCCTGTCGCTGTGTCCTGCTATGTCCTGTTTTTTTTAGCCGCCTGCTCCCGCCCGCAGCAAAGTTCATACCGCCCGCTCCGGCAAGATTTGACTTGGGTCCCACGGGACCCGATCCCAATGCAGCCCTCCACACTGTACCATCCTTTTCTATTATAGTAGTCGATGGGATAGCTCACTGGGGCAATGACTGGGATGTGCGTGCCATCCAAAACACCAGCACACATGGGGAATCCCGTCTTCCTCTCAAAATCTGTTATGATGGCTTGGACTTCTGGGACAGTTTTTGGCCTCTTCACAAAAAACCCTCCTGAGTTTGCTTAGTGCCTCACACACCTCCCAGAAGATGTTACAGGCTGTGCTGGCTCCAATACCAAACAGGTTGGCAACATCATGGAATTCAACATTACTTCCAAGCTTGTAGAGGGTAATCGCAACCCTCTTCTCTATAGGTACTGAATCCAACATGTTTGTAGTTTGGGGGTTGACGTATGGGCGCAGCTGGTCACAAAGGATATTGAAGGCCTCTTTGGGCATTCTAAAGTTGACGTACCAATCTTTCTCCAGGAATTTCTGGAGCACCTCTGTTTCCCAGAAGGAATGCCCTCGCTCCTGTGGTGTTCTCTCAATATACCATGCATTTACTATAAAAGAGAGGGAAAGCAGTCAGTACAAACACGTTGTGAGTTTGCAGTGTTGACATTTTCAATTTGCACATTTCTAAGGTACAGGGTACATGCAAATTGGTGCTTTGAAGTGGCTACAGGGATGGGAAAAATTCACATTCATTAATTTAATTCAGGGGTAGGCCTACATTTTATTACAAATTACAAAGTACTGAAAAAATGTTTGCATAGGTACTCGATACCTTTCAGGTATCGACCGAAACAACATAATACCAAATAGTATCGAAACTGCGCCTGTCAAACGATACCTGCAATCGGTTCTTTTTGTACCCAGATCAAGAAAAAAATGACTGTTTCTATGGTTTTGCTCGCAGCCAATCACCGCAAGCGTTCTTCGTTTCAATGCGCCATGTGATTGGTCCACCACCGCAACAACAATAGTTTGTATGGCGGTAAAGCGGGAACCCGTTGGCGGGTCAGCATTCCGAGATGCCGGCAGCAAAACGTTCAAAAGTATGGCTATACTACACGCCTGTGGCGCCGGGTACAAATAGATTCTTAAAATGTGGCAAGATAATTTCGGGGAAAACGGGGAATACTAGCAACATAATGAAGCACCTCATCAAGCACGGAACAAACTTCAGGGTGGAGAATTGCACTGTGTTTAAGAAGCCGGCTCCTATGACACCAGCCTCGTCGTCGTACTGGTAACGGTACTGTATAGAACATTTTTAAATGATACCCAGCCCTAATAAAAACAGTGTCATGTCCAATTAAGAAATCTTAAGGGATTACATATTGATTTGAAAGTTAACTAGTGACGTTAATGGTGACAAAAATTAACGGTGACATTGCGGTCGGTAACACACAATGTCACCGATCACAACTACTATTACTAGTACTAGAAAACAGACGGCTGTCAATATTGCTTGCATTTGTCATCAGGAATGTAAGGTAATAGCTAATTAATAGCTTGATAATAGCATGGGTGATGAGGGATTATGCAACAATTATTGTCTTCTATTAACTAAGCCATTTTTTTCCTATTATTGGTTTGCCTGGTCTCTGTGTGTAATAATGCTTGTAGAACCTCAACTCTGTAATGCAATTTTAGGGACAACCTGGGCTATCAAAATATGTATGCTGCAGTGATGTCACATGAATGTAAAAATAACAATATGTTCCTTACCGCATGCTGCCATGCACATAATCCATCTAATCATCTTTCGAGATTTTGCTCTTCTGATGGATTTGAGCTTGCTCTTTCTGCTGTGTACGGCGATGAGCCTCCTGAATTTGCACCCAAAATGCTGTAAAAAATGTAATTTATAATTGCCAACGCAGCCTCCCCACAGAGATGCCGATTCGCACAGGACTAATATTATCACATGACCTCTGTGTTTAGCAAAATATGGTAGGTAATTTGCGGTGGAATTTTGACTTTACAAATTACGGACTTGGCAGATTCGCATGGGATTAAGATCACAGACGACCTCCGCAATTATTAAAAATTACTAGAGGTCGCCAGGTAATACTAGTCCTGTGCGAATAGGGCTTATGACATCCTTGAAAGAGTGAAGCATGGTGAATCCCAATAAAATAAACTTATAAGTGGTTTAAAAAGCATTCCTGCATTAAAAGGCTGTTGCATTGGCCGGGAATCGAACCCGGGCCTCCCGCGTGGCAGGCGAGAATTCTACCACTGAACCACCAATGCCTACATGATAAGCATTTTGAGCACAACAGAATCGCACTGCAATCAATGTGTCCAGTTTCCACCGCATAACAGACCAGTGAAAGTAGGAGTTGTCTGTGAAAAGTTAGCTGTACTACTAGCAGAACATTTTCACACTACACCACTGCCATCAAACAATGTTATGAGTAAGATAAAGCCCACATATGAAAGTTCCCAACATCAAAACATTTAATTTCTGTGACTTGTCTTATGATCTGCCTAAACTTGACTAACACTTGCATTTAGTCATTTAGCAGACACTTGTATCCAGAACGACTTACGAGAGAGGGATGCACCGATACCCGGTATTACCCACATATGATAGTTCCCAATATCAAAACATTTAATTTCTGGGACTTGTCTTATGATCCAATGCAAATTATGAGGGATGCACCAATGCAAACGCGGTATCCATTATCGGTGAAGTCTATGCATAGCTCTGATACTCCTCTTTTTTCTCTCCCAATGTTTCTTATATTGTGAAATCACAGATGATACTCTTTTGGCTGAATAGCCAAAAGAGATAATACAATACTATTGATATTTTGTAAAAGTTAATTGTCAATGTATGGCAGACCATCCTACCACTGCATAATACACACATCATTTCTCACCATAACGCTGTCTAACCAGCGTGCAGGTGTACACCCACACACCTTAACCTTTTAACCATTTATTCTATATATACTAGAACTGGGTGCTGAACCTCGAAACACTTCAGTACTACAGGGTACCGAACAAGAACCAAAAATGTACAATTTTCTGGCATCTATTGACTATGTTCAAACCTGGCTGTTTACTTGACATTTATTACTATTATTATTATGCTGTGCGTTATGCCATTACATATTGTAACACTCACGCGACTGTTTTAATTCAACAAACAGAGTGGAACTTTTCTCTATAATCGTCTTTTTTTTTCATATAATAGTGACACATTGTATGGTTCAGATTAATTTACATGTTTTTGTATTTCTTGCTTTTATTTATTAGGTATCCAAAAAATGTGTTTTGTCACAGAATATTTTTGTCCTAAACCCAAATATATACAATACAATAATGGCAGTGGATCCTCTGGTTATCCAGAGGTTTGTTACCGCAGCCTCTGCTTCAATGGTAGACGACCCGAGAACAGCGTATCTGTCATTTCTTTTCCTGTGCATATGGATATGCGTATCTGCACAGCCATTAATTTGGATCATACGATGGATTAACCTCTTCAAATACAAAGTCTAATCTTAATAAACAAGCTTTTTTTATATAAGATTTATTTATAAAACAAGCCTCCCCGTCGGGGAATTGAACCCCGGTCTCCCGCGTGACAGGCGGGGATACTGACCACTATACTAACGAGGAGTGGTGGTGAGGAACAAATCAAAACAACTTTGAAAGTTACCCAATGGCTGGCAGCTGTCTTTATAAAACGCAACTGGCCAAGCATTAGTTTTAATATGTAACCCGAGATTTTTTTACCTGCCAAATCTTTGAATCTACCCACGATTGGCTGGTCGCAGGTGTTAATTTAGACCTTAGATGGCTGTTGACTTGCCAGCCTTTGTTTGGGCTTAAAATGCCTTTATTATCACTAGCAAAAACAGTGTGCATTGGCCGAACCCGGGCCTCCCGCGTGGCAGGCGAGAATTCTACCACTGAACCACCAATGCGTACAGTCCCAACTTGACATTAGGGTGAGTCTGTATCAGCCTCAACTAGAGGCTGGTTCCTAACATTAGGCCAGACTGCCCCGCCATTAGAGGCTCCTTGCTTTGGAGAATGCACTCATTTCAGCGGTTTTGAAACAGGTACCTGCTTCCTAACATTTAGCCAGACTGCCTCCACTAGAGGCTGCTTCCTAACATTCAGCCAGACTTCCAACACTAGAGCCTGCTGCCTAACATTCAGCCAGACTGCCTCCACTAGAAGCTGCTTCCGAAGAATAAGCCAAACTGCCGCCACTAGAGGCTGCTTCCTAATATTCAGCCAGTCTGCCTCTACTAGAGGCTGCTTCCTAACAAAAAGCGCTGTTACCAATGCTAACTTGGTCTATAACCTAACACTCTTACTAGTTTCAGTGCAGAAATTCAGCCAGACTGCCTCCACTAGAGGCTGTTTGCTAACATTCAGCCAGACTGCCTCCACTAGAGGCTGGTTCCCAACATTAGGCCAGACTGCCCTTTATTAGAGGCTTCTTGCTTTAGAGAATGCACTAATTTCAGAGGTTCTAAATCAGTGACCACCGGTCTCTGTGGCGCTACCTGACTCTAGTTCGTCTGTTCTTTTTCCAATGTTGTCAGCGAATCACGTTCGATCATTTCCAATGTCATTTTCCCCCCGTCCAATCACGTAGCTGGATGACATTGGACGTAGCCAATCAGAACGCTGCTGTCCAATGTAGAATGGATGACGACACGTACTCTGTGTCATCGTCGTCAGTGCGCGATAATAACATTCATAGTAAATAGTAAGTAATCATTCCTTCTTAAATAGGCATATACGGTTTATTTCAATCCTTCACACGAAGTTATCTGATCATTTTGATGGGTGTTACATTACGTTATATTGCCGCTAGTCACCGGTAACCATTCCGTCGTAAATAGGCATATATGTTTATTTCGCGCCAAAGTACGACATGCAACTAATATGATATTACTATTCCTAACCACCTAGCGCCATTGCAACCTGCAGGACCACGATGGATATTTTATCTTGCAAAATTAGTTCACTTTCTAATTCTTAGAAGCGCCATCACCAAGTTGTGATGGTGCTTCAATATAACAGTTTCTGCCTGGGGCAAGTTTATGTCATGTAAACAAACTAACGTTAGGCTACTATCTACATAATAATACCCTCAATATTACTATGAATAGAAAACCATATGTGGCTCACTATGACATAGCTATGACATGCTTATCATCTAGGTTGCTACCCATTTACAATGTCTGATCAGAGGTGATCATACACCCAACATTTTTGCAACTCAAATCCTCTCTCAAAACCTTTTCAGGACAGCATTCTCATTGTAGTTGTCATGATGTTTTTACTTGCACTTTTAATGGTTTTATTTGTTTGCTCTTGTTTTAAATTGTAAAGTGTCCTTGAGTCACCTGAAAGGCGCTTCTAAATACAATGTATTATTATTATTATTATTATTATTGTTATTATCATTATTATTATTATTATTATTAACTTGATTGATTTGATAATGGAGCTGTCATGCTGTCATATTAGGTGTGCGTTTGTGCTGTAGTGTCACAGTGTAGTCCAAAGGATGCTCATTGTTTATTGTTGTCCATATTCAGATGAGCAATAAGCCTAAGAAGCACAAGGCCATGGGGGAAGGAGAGTGGATGGCAAGGCTCAGGGCATATGCCAGCTCAGGCGTTTGGCCTCCTGGAGGCAATAGACCAGCCCCTAAGCAGCGGAAGTGGCATGACCTCTACCAGAATGTAAAATATAGCAATACATAATGATCCCTTGAAAAATGTACCATACAATTGTGCAGATACTATGAATAAACAAATTACTGTATACCCCAGGCTAAGCAGGGTTCTGATTGTTTCAGATTGAGAAATGCCCCATGCAGGCCCGTGGACAGACCACTTTGTTTGGAGGGTCGTTGGCCTGTAATTGTGGATTTCACAGTGCTAAGGTGATCTATTTTAAAATGATGTGTCATTATGATTAACCTTACATCTCATGTCTGCTGCGTCATTATGATTAACCTTACATCTCTTGTCTGCTGAAATGCTGTATCTGTTATATCACGCATCACAATGCTGTAGCTGTTATACTGTATTCTGTTATAGCAGCCCACCACTCAGCCTCCTGCCGCAGCCGCACAGTCTGCTGCTTCGGTCTCGGCCCCTGGTGCAATGGCTGCTGTGACACCGTCTTTCCTGCGCCCCCCTGCGTCATTGTCGATGGTGAATATTATATTAAATGCCTCATATTTCATTCATAGTAGCTTTGTATTTATATTGATTATATTGAAATTAATATTGTTTGTCTTTTCAGTTCACTAAATCACGCTTTGGTGGGTCACACTCTGCCACACTAAAGCCCAATTTAGTGGCTAGGAGGAGCCCCAGCCCCTCTTCCTCCCCCGTGAAGACCCCCAGCCACTCTCCGTCCGCTGTGAGGACTCCCATCCCCTCTCCATCCTCTGTGAGGACCACAAGCCATGCTCCATCCTCTGTGAGGACCCCCAGCCCCTCTCCATCCTCTGTGAGGACCCCCAGCCCCTCTCCATCCTCTGTGAGGACCCCGAGCCATGCTCCATCCTCTGTGAGGACCCCCAGCCCCTCTCCATCCTCTGTGAGGACCCCACGCTGTGCCCCATCCTCTGTGAGGACCCCCAGCCCCTCTCCATCCTCTGTGAGGACCCCAAGCCCTTTTGTGAACACCAGCATGGCAGAGGCCTGTGTAAGTACAGCAGTGTCTGTTCATTGGCCTGGGTGTTGTGTAGATTATGCTTATTGTGGCCTTTATGTATGCCATACATTAATCATTTGTTGTTGTCTTCTAAACAGGATGAACCTGGAGGAGTTCAGCTGGCCACTGCTGGGGCTGCAGCTTCATTTTATTTGCCAGCAGAGATGGAGAAAAACATCCCCATCCAAGACCAGAGGTGGATTTCAAAATCCATTTTCCAGTCTGGCAAACTGCGGCCAGATCTGAAGCTGTGGTACGAACCCCCTGTCCCAGCCCTCATATACCACCAGACACCATCGCCAGATCGTTTTTTCACCCATCGGCTGATGGTGTGGATGCCCTACCACCTATGGAAGGTGAGGGTAATCTGCCCTGAGTGTGGGAAGCAGCTGACGGGCTATGGTGTCCACAAGAGGGCTCGGAAGGTCCTGGACATTGACAGGTATTACCTGATGGTAACAGAGACACTCAGGTGCACTGTGTGTTCTATGAACTACCTGTCCACCTCCCAGACTGTCCGGGACCAGCTGGACCTGCCTCATCAAAACCTGTTCCGGCTGATCCTGACCCGCAAGTAAGTAAAACAGTTTTGAAAAAATGCGTCACCAGTAGTGTGTGTAATAAAGCGATCAACAGAATTCCACCGTCACATTCAACTGTCGCATTGCCGGCCGTGTGTGATAGCCTTTACACGTCTGTAATGACCGTTCTATTTATATGTAACTCATCACAGCTACATGTGCATTTCAGGTACGCCTGTGACATCCGTGTCATTCGCCTGCTGCGTGATCGGACTCTGGGCAACAGTCCAGCACGTCTGGTGAAGCAGCTCAAGGAGAACCACGGGGAGGAATTGTTGAACAGGTTGTCACACTATTTTGGGGAGTGTGCTGACTTTGTTGATCGGCCGTGCCTCTTCCCAGTGGTGTGCCAGGAGCCCCCAGCGCCCATTGATGTGCCCACCAGTCGCTGGCTGCTGTCCGTGTATGGCAGGGACATCCTCTCCCGCCTGGACCATATCAAGGCCAGCATTACCTCCACATTTGGCTCCATCTTAAAGATGGACTCAACCAAACAGGTAATAAATAATCTGTGTAATAGATATCCATGTTCTTAATATATGCCATTATACACATGAATGTTATTGTCAATCATAATATCACATGGGTAGATATTTTAAATGTGTACAGTGTTGTATATTAATCTATATATACTGTACTTGCTGCTGTAGATAGTTCAAATTACAGATTTTGTAACATCACTATTGTTAAATTCCAGATCACAAAGAAGCTGGCAGGCCATGGCAAGGGGACTGGTCTCTGGGTCACCTCCATTGGGAACGAGGTTGGCCAGATCGTCACCTGTGTGGTGACAGTGCAGGAGGGGCCAGGACTGGACAGGATGGTGGCAGGGGTGATGGAGCGGTACCGCCAGGCAGCTATCGCACCCCCACTGCTGCTGTATGTGGACTGTGGTTGCTGCATCAGTGAGGGGTCCAGCAAGCTGCAGACCAGATTTGGGGAGTGGCCAGACCTCCATATACGGCTGGATATCTGGCACTTAATGCGGAGGCTAGCCGTCGGGTGTACCACTGACGCTCATCCCCTCTACCCCACCTTCATGGGCTGTCTCTCTGCCTGCATATTTGAGTGGGATGCAGGGGACCTCTCTCTGTTGCGGCGGGCAAAGCGAGAGCAGCTCGAGCGGGAGGGTGTGCCAGCCTTGACTGATGCAGCAGTGGATGCAAGGATCAGTAAGAGGGAGCTGAGCCAGTACTGCCGCAGGAGGACGCGTGGCGAGGAGGCCACCATCAGCCTCATCGGGCGGCTGCTGCAGGAACTGGGAGGGGCAAACGGGAGAGACCTCATGGGGGTGCCACTGCTGGACCAGGTGCGCATGGAGCACATCTGGCGTGTGCAGCAACGCCACATAAAGTGCATTCAGGACCTGCCTGGTGTGCAGCTTTATACAGAAAAGGGCACCATCAACAAGGGGGGTGTTGTCCTGACCAGGTATCGCTGTGCCAGAGGGTCCACATCCCTGGAATCATTCCATTGCCACCTTAACAGGTTCATTCCAGGTTGGTGTCTCCCTTATGTATGATAAACACTCAGTATACCCTTTTATGAAAAGCATTCATTAGATTGGAAAGCTAGACCTTTTTAATTGACTATTAATATTGTATTCTTTTCTCAGGAACCAGTGCAAATGCACTGAATTTCCAGCTATACCT